GCAAATGAGGGCCATGCCTTGCTTGAATGAACACAAAAGGGCCCTGAGAGGTAGGCGTTTGAGGGTTTAGAGCTTGAGGGCCCCCAAACATGTCCCCGAAACCCTAAACCCTAAACCCTAAACCCTAAACCCTAAACCCTAAACCCTAAACCCTAAACCCTAAACCCTAAACCCTAAACCCTAAACCCGAACCCTAAGCCAACTCCTACCAAAAAAACACCCGCGAAGACGGACCACAATGCTGCTTTGAATGCGCTGGTCTGAGAGCGCGGCTCGGTGTCTGGGCCTTCCACGCAAGGGAGAGGGGTTGGGGTTTTGGGGGGTTAGGGTTTAGGGGTTAGGGGTTAGGGGTTTAGGGTTTAGGGTTTAGGGTTTAGGGTTTAGGGTTTAGGGTTTAGGGTTTAGGGTTTAGGGTTTAGGGTTTAGGGTTTAGGGTTTAGGGTTTAGGGTTTAGGGTGGTTGGGGTTTGGGGGTTCAGGGTTTTTGGGGGCGTTCTTGGAGGTTCAGGGTACTTGAAATCCCAGTTATAACTTACTCATAAGCCCCCCCCCCTAGTAGGTTAAAGGGAGAGGAGTTGGGGTTTGGGGGTTCTTAGGGTTTGGAGGGTTTAGGGGTTTTTAGGGGTTATAGGGTTTTGGGATTTTTTTATGGGTTATAGGCTATAGGGTTTAGGGTTTTTAGGGTTTTTGGGTCTTTGGGGGGGCTTGGGTTCAGGATTGTCCTCCCCGCACCCCCGTGCGTGGTGAGGTTTGCCACGCCTGCCAGTGTTTTCGACATGTCAAGTAAGGAAAAGCCTGCGGTCCTTTACGAGCACGTTATCAAGGACAACAACACACAGGACTCTCAAGCATTCCAACGGCGGTCCGCACCTAGTCGCGCTTGCGACCGCACTTGCGGCAGAACAGCGAGTCGTCCAAGTACACGTTGCCGCAAGCCGGGCAGTTGGTGCTCCCGCCCTTCGCTTGAGGTTTTCTGCCAAAGGCTTAATTCCTTGTGGGGTATCCCTCTTGCTATTTCTAGCGCTTGTGGCAGACCAAGTAGCAGGCCTAATCTCGGGAGGCAGCTTCGAGTCTGGAGTTCAGAATTGTTCAGGTATCGGGGCATGAGTTGGAGATGGAATGCTTCTAGGGATCAGAAGCACTACAAGCACCAGTAGAACTTGGCACCCTGCCTTGGACTCTTAAGACACCCAAAGCGGACCCAAAGCCCAGCAAGGTGCTGCCGCCTGGCCCTGCATCTGCATGTACTTCGCAAACTCCTCGGGCGAGATATTGCCACTGCCATCCGCATCCACGCGGGCAAAGAGGTCCTCGGAGGTTGACAGGAAGCCCTGAACTGTGCAAAAACCGAACAAGCATCCAACTGCTTCCCACCCTGAGGCCCTTGCGCTGCCGCCGGACATTGGCGCTGCCGGGTACGAATACGGGGTCTGGTAGCTTGAGCTTGGCACAAACGTTGGCGCGGCCGAGAGCTGCCCGGGAGCGGCGTACTGAGGAGCTCCGTAAGAAACCGGAGCTCCGTAGGACACCGGAGCTCCGTAGCTGACTGGAGCTCCGTAGGGGTCGGCGGCGCCAGCAGGTGCCGGAGACGCGTAGGTGACAGGGGCAGGCGCCGGAGCACCGTAGCTGACCGGAGCACCGTAGCTGACCGGAGCTCCGTAGGGGTCGGCGGCGCCAGCAGGCGCCGGAGACGCGTAGGTGACCGGGGCAGGCGCCGGAGCACCGTAGCTAACCGGAGCACCGTAGCTGACCGGAGCTCCGTAGGGGTCGGCGGCGCCAGCAGGCGCCGGAGACGCGTAGGTGACCGGGGCAGGCGCCGGAGCACCGTAGCTGACCGGAGCTCCATAGGAAGGGGCCTCACAAATACAAACTCAAGCTGATCTAGGTGTCATAGTCATGAACAATGCAATTCAGGACTCATGCTGTAACAGCAGCAGGAGGAGGAGGAGTATAGAATTGCCCTACTTGGCGGTTCCCCATACTGCTTACATCTGGTTCGCACAGCGTACCCTGCAAATGTCGCACCCTCCCCACACTCCTATCCACAAACAAACCAGGAATCCTAAACTCTACAGCCCAAGCCCCCCAATCTCCAAAACTGCCCTGTGCAGATATTTTCTAGAGCTGTGTCGACTTTCAAAACCCAAATACACCCCTGCTTGATGACATGTGACACGTGATAGACAACAAGGACCACACAAAGGCCAGCAGGGGTTCAGGGCAAGGGCAGTTCAGGGCTCTTTGGTTTGGGGTTCGCCGCCTGGCCCATCAGCTGCGCAAATTCCTCGGGGGTTAGCCCACCGTCATTGTTCGCGTCCAGGCGGGCGAACTGGTCCTTGGAAGTTCTGCGACGCAGAATGTCGGAGTGACCCAAAGGGCGCTGGCAAGTTAAAGTGCAGAGTTCGGGCTTGATTTCTCTGGCCAATCTTACAGCTTGCAACTTCAGAAGCTAGAGTGGCTAGGTGGCAGAGGACATGGGACTACTCAAGGCCTACAGCCTGGCTGCACCTGGCACTGCAGGTCATGAATCCAAACAATCGAAGCTGGTACGCATCCGCTTCAAGGATCTTCCGAAGATTGACACAGCAAAGAATCTAGCTCGGTTGACTGCCCGATGCGTCCTACAAGTCTCATGTCCTTCCCTTCAAAACATGATCTTCAGAAGCCTTGAATTGTGGCGTCGACACGCTTTGATTTCGAAACTAAAAGCCCGAACCTGAAGCCATGACCTTAGACCCCCCCGATTATAGGGTTCGGGTTACGGAAATCAGTCTGAGGCTGGCGCCATGTAGGGAGCCTCGGGTAGAATCTGTGAAGCACCAGGCTACAGGCTGCCACTGCGCAATGTTTCAACAGATACTCTCTCTCTCTCTCTCTCTCTGTCTCTCTCTCTCTCTCTCTCTTTCTTTCTTTCTCTCTCCCATAACACGATTCCCATATGGATCTGAGGACTGAGCCGGAGCCGCGTAGGTAACTGGCGCCGGAGCACCGTAGCTGACCGGAGCTCCGTAAGGGTCGGCGGTGACGGGTGCCGGAGCTGCGTAGGTCACCGGGCCAGTAGTGGCAGGCACCGGAGCTCCATAGGTGACCGGGCCGGTAGTGGCAGGCGCCGGAGCTGCGTAGGTCACCGCAGGGCTAGTGGTGGCAGCCGGCACTGTGTAGGTGACTGGGCTGGTAGTGGCAGCTGGAGCAGTGTAGGTGACTGGGCTGGTAGTGGCAGCCGGCGCTGTGTAGGTGGTGACCGGGGTGGTCGTGGCGGCCGGAGCTGTGTAGGTGACTGGGCTGGTAGTGACCGGGCTTGCGACCGGGCTGGTCGTGGCGGGCATGCTCTGGATCGGGGCTGCCACTGCAGTCGAAGATGTCATGGGGGCCACTGCTTGAGATGAGCCTGGTGCCACAGTGTAGGTAGCAGGCGTTGGTGTTGCATACTGTGGGATGCTCGGCGTCGTGTACGTGGCCGGAGCATACATCGGTGCAGGCGCTGGGGCAGCATAGGGCATGGGCTGCGCCGGCCCTGGGGCAGCATAGGTCATAGGCTGGCCAGGCGCGGGAGCTGGGCTCGGTGCTGGCGCTGGGGCGGCGTACACAGCATTCGACGGCGCTGGGCCCGGTGTTGTGCCTGGCGCTGGGGCGGCGTACACCGCATTCGACGGTGCCGGGCCCGGCGTTGTGCCTGGTGCTGGGGCTGCGTACACAGCATTCGACGGCGCGGGGGCCGGCGTTGTGCCTGGTGCTGGGGCTGCGTACACAGCGTTCGATGGTGCTGGGCCAGGGGTCGGCGTTGTGCCTGGTGCTGGGGCTGCGTAAACAGCGTTCGATGGCGCCGGGCCAGGGGCCGGCGTTGCACTTGGCGCTGGGGCTGCGTACACAGCGTTCGACGGCGCTGGGCCAGGGGTCGGCGTTGTGCCTGGTGCAGGTGCTGCGTACACAGCATTCGATGGCGCTGGGGCCGGTGTGGTACCTGGTGCTGGGGCTGCGTACACAGCGTTGGATGGGGCCGGGCTAGGGGCCGGCGTTGTGCCTGGTGCTGGGGCTGCATACACAGCGTTCGACGGTGCCGGCGCTGGGGCCGCGTACACCGCATTTGACGGCGCTGGAGCAGGGCCTGGCGCTGGAGCAGGGACCGGCATGGCCACCGAGGAACCATAAGCTGGCTGTGGCTGCGCGTACTGCACGGAAGAGCCAGGTCCAGGTGCCACCTCTGCATGTGCGTACCGAGCGTGTTCTGTATAACTCCCAGTGAGCAATCCCATAACCCTGAACCCCATCCGAGCAGTCTGGGATCCAACTGACTTTCAAAGGCTGCCCTTCGAGAGGTTGAACCGAAAACCCTAAAACCTCCTCCCAAACCTGGGCGGCTTACAACTTAGAGCGATTAGCGAAATACTTGTTGACATGTGACAAGGCCTCCGCAGGTGAGAGCCCAAAAGGACGCAAAAAATAAAAAAAAACAAAGGCCAGCGGGGGTTTAGGTTCATGGTTCAGGGCGCAGGGTCACCTGGCCCATGAGCTTCGCAAACTCCTCACGGGTAAGCGTGCCATCATTGTTCACATCCAGGCGGGCGAATTGGTCCTTGGAGGGCTGCTGAAGTTCCGTGTGGGGTTCTGGCCTTGTGCTTTCAACTGTACAGCTTAGAGCATCTTATAACACGGCTTCGACTGGTGGCAGCAGGCATCAGACTCACTGACTGCTTGGTTGCGACATGAATCCCAAACTCAAAACCACCCCGATTAAGGTTCGGGCTTACAAGTGAGGGGTTTGAGCAATCGGGCTAACCTGTCCAGTCTGAGCATGGCACCATGTATGGAGATGGAGCCTCGGCGAATCTGCGAAGCGCAAAGCTACGACACTCATCACACAGAGCTGCGGCATGTGGCAACTGCAACCGCTCGATGTTGCAACAGAAACTCCCACCCTCACAAAGCCACTGATTCCGTCCATCCTCGAACTCATGATTCTTCTGAGGACTGCACCGGAGCCCCGTAGGTGGCCGGCGCCGGAGCTGCGTATGGGACAACCGGGCTCGTGGCAGGCGCTGGCGCTCCATAGGTGACCGGGCCGGCAGGGGCAGGCGCTGGAGCTGCGTAGGTGACGACCGGGCTCGTGGCAGGCACCGGAGCTCCGTAGGAGACCGGGGCTCCATAAGGGCTGGTGGTGCTCGGTGCCGGAGCACCGTAGCTGACAGGAGCTCCGTAAGGGCTGGTGCCTGTGGCAGGAACCGGAGCTCCATAGGTCACTGGGCCAGTCGTGGCAGGAACCGGAGCTCCATAGGTGACCGGGCCGGTAGTGGCAGGCGCCGTGGTGGCAGCCGGCACTGTGTAGGTAACCGGGCTGGTAGTGGCGGCTGGAGCTGTGTAGGTGGTGACCGGAGTGGTGGTCGCTGGCATGCTCTGGATCGGCGCCGCCACTGCAGCCGAGGATGACATAGGGGCCATTGCTTGAGATGAGCCTGGTGCCACAGCGGTGGGGCTTGTAGTGGTGGCCGGAACTGTCGGGCTTGTAGTGGCGGCCGGAGTTGTGTAGGTCACCGGGCTAGTTGTCGCTGCGGGAGCCGTGTAGGTCACAGGGCTGGTTGTGGCGGCCGGAGCTGTGTAGGCAGGCATTGGAGCTCCGTAGGTGACCGGGCCAGGCGCCGGAGCCGCATAGGTCACCGGGGCCGGCGCACCGCAGGTGGCAGGCGCAGGAGCTCCGTAGGTCACCGGACTGGTGGTGGCAGGCGCCGGAGCTCCGTATGAGCTGGCGGTGCCAGGCGCTGGAGCCGCGTAGGTGACTGGGCTGGTTGCTGGAGCTCCGTAATTGGCAGGGGCAGGGGCTGCGTAGGTCACCGGGCCAGGCGCCGGTGCTGCGTAGGTGACTGGGCTGGTTGCTGGCGCTCCATAGTTGGCAGGCGCCGGAGCCGCGTAGGCCACCGGGCTGGCCGTGGCAGGCGCGGGAGCTCCGTAGGTCACCGGAGCTCCGTAGCCAGGTGCTGGAGCCCCATATGTGGCAGGCGCAGGAGCACCGTAGCTGACCGGAGCTCCGTAAGGGCTGGCGCCAGTTGCCGGAGCTCCGTACGTGACCGGAGCACCATAGGGAACAGCGCCCGGAGCACCGGCGTACGCCCCAGGGGCCTGGAAACAAAGCTCTGGCACGTCTTTGCGCACCTTTCATCCTTAAACTCATGAGATCAAGCCCTTCACCAGGCAAAAAGCAGGCGGGCTGCAAAACAAGGCACCCCAAACACATGATTCGGACACAAAAATGTCACGAGCAAACTCCACAATCCTAGACCACCAAGGCCCAAAGCCTAAGGGCTTTCAACTCAAGTTGCTGCGCCAGTTGTAGTTTCAGGTCTTGGGCCTAGGGCAAAGCTGGATGTTTACGCAGACCCGGCCCCGCCAAACCTGCTGCAAGCGCAGGGAATAAAACCCCAATCGTCCGTAAACTCCTGAAGCCTACTATCCGATACTATCCGCCATCACTTCGGGCCACGCCTGGTCGCGTTTGTGGCCGCACTTCCGGCAGAACAGCGAGTCGTCCAAGTACACGTTGCCGCAAGCCGGGCAGGTGGTGTTCTGTTCCAGGGGCAGCTGACCCTAAACCCTAAACCCCAAACCCTAAACCCCAAACCCTAAACCCTAAACTACTTTACTTGCAGGGGAGCTCCTGCTGTCGCATCCTTACAGATGAAAGGCTTCTGAAACTGAGAGGGTTTAGGGTTTGAGCTTCACAGCTGAACTTGCCTGTTTTTAGCTGGAAATGGAAACTCCACGACGGTGTCGGGGCCTGTCCTTGAAGCCAAAACACTCGTTATCCCGAACCCCTTCATGCAAAGCTCCAACCATAGCCCATAGACACCAGATGATCTTGAGCTAGGTCGATCGATGCGTACTCGGAGGTTCATGGTACTTAGTAACGAATAATAACTATACTTATGACTCACTTATAAGCCCCTTAAGTGCCCTAATATGGTTATAAGTACAGTTATATGTACAGTTAGAACTAGTTACTAAGTACCCTGAACCTCCAAGTAGAGTTCGATGCTTCTGCGCCTGGCCCTGCATCTGCTGCATGAGCTTCGCAAACTCTTCGCGGGAGATACTGCCGCTACCATCCGCATCCAGGCTGGCAAACATGTCCTTGAAGGTTCCCCCAAACCCTAAACCCTAAACCCCCATAGACCCTCAACACCCGTTTAGGGTTGAGGTAGGGTTCGGGTTCCTAGGGTCCTAAAAGAGTTCTTCGAGCCTTGTGTTGTTTTTGCCCCCCGCCTTCCCCCCCCCCCCCCCCAAAAAAAAGTCTCTAAACCCTAAACCCTGAACCCTAAACTCTAAACCCTAAACCCTCGGTTGGCCCCTGAAGGAACCTCCGCCCCCCGAGTGGGCTCCCGGCCGCGGACGCCATGTCTTCGATGTCGGAGAGGAGGGGGGTCCTCGAGCTTAGGGTTTGGGGCTCAGGGTTCAGGGTTCAGGGTTTAGGGTTTAGGGTTTAGGGTTTAGGGTTTAGGGTTTAGGGTCTAGGGTTTAGGGGTTAGGGTTTCGGGTTTAGGGCTTGGGGTTTAGGGTTTCGGGTTTAGAGCCGGCAGTTCCCCACAGCTTCACCTGCAGAGCTCGACTCTTCAAACCCGCCACGCTCGAAACTTATCCCCAGACTCAGGACGCCTTCGACTTAGGACCGAAAGCCCCTAAACCCTAAACCCTGAACCCTGAACCCTAAACCCTGAACCCCAAACCCTAAACCCTAAACCCTGAACCCTGAACCCTAGATCAGAGTCACAGCTTACGCTGATGGGCATGTGGCTGCTCCTCGGGGGCTCTAGGGTTCAGGGTACTTAGTAACTAATTATAACTGTACTTAGTAACTAAGGGTTTAGGGTTTAGGATTTAGGGTTTAGGGTAACTGTACTTCTAACTGTACTTATAACCATATTCGGGAACTTATGGGGCTTATAAGTGGGTTATAAGTACAGTTGAAAGGGGTTTTTAAGTACCATGAACCTCCAAGTAGGGTTCAGGGTTGCCTTCAGCTGGATTCAAGGTCTACTTGGAGGTTCAAGAGTAGCTATAAGTAGGGTTTAGGGTTTAGGGTTAAAGGTTGCGGGTTACGGTTTAAGGTTTAGGGTTTAGGGTTTAGGGTTCAGGGTTTAGGCTTTAGGGCTTAGGGTTTAAGGGGTATAAGTAGCCTAAATAGGCTTATAAGTCTACTTACCATACTTCTAACCCTACTTCTAGCTACCCATGAACCTCCAAGTAGGCTTTCGGGCAGAGGGCTGTGCAGTCCTCCACACGGCAGGATGGTCGTACGACTCGCGTTCGGGCCAGAGCGCTTCACGGCACAAGAGGTTTAAGGTTTAAGGTTTAGGGGTTTAGGGGTTTAGGGGTTTAGGGGTTTAGGGGTTTAGGGGTTTAGGGGTTTAGGGGTTTAGGGGTTTAGGGGTTTAGGGGTTTAGGGGTTTAGGGGTTTAGGGGTTTAGGGGTTTAGGGGTTTAGGGGTTTAGGGGTTTAGGGGTTTAGGGGTTTAGGGGTTTAGGGGTTTAGGGTTTAGTGCATTTGGGGAGTCATGGGTCGTTTTGCAGAGTAGAGTGAGCACAGAAACCCTATACCCTTAAACTTTCTTAACCCCTGAACCCTCACAACCGAAGGTTTTGGGGCTTGTAGAAGGTCTTTTTTATGTTGTTTTTGTGTTGTGGTTTTCTAGGGCTTTTTTGGGGGTTTCACAGGACTTGATGGTGTGAGGGGTTGGGCGGGGTTTGAGTTTTGGGTTTTAAGCGTGTAAGGTTTAAGGTTTAAGGTGTAAGGTTTAAGGTTCTGTGAAGTCTAACCCGGCTGCTGGTTTTCGCAGCCCGGCGCTCCAGCCCTATATCCCTCAAAGAAAAAGGCGGGGAGGAGAAGCAGGGGCGAGAAGGGGGGGCCTACTTGGAGGTTCATGGTACTTAGTAACTAATTTTAACTGTACTTATAACTGCACTTATAACCACATTAGGGCACTTAAGGGGCCTACAAGTGGGTTATAAGTACAGTTATAATTGGTTAATAAGTACCATGAACCTCCAAGTAAACCCTCAACCCTAAACCCTGGCTCTTTGGGTTTGGCCGTGCACGTGCTTGCCCTGGCCGATGGTTTTGTGCATTCTACGGATTTTCACGTCGCTGCCGGTCAGAAAAGGCTGAAACAGCCACTTTCGAGAAAGGTCTAAAGTCCCAAATGGGAAGATCACACGCTGCCTCTCAGAAAAGGCTCACTTGAAACACTTGAAACACTTTTCTTGGGGAGGCAGTCGCTGCCGGTCAGAAAAGGCTGAAGAAGCCACTCTCGAGAATTGTCTAAAGTCCCAGCACTGGGAAGATCACATGCTGTGGTGCTAGGCTCCAAACTCTACCGCTGTCCCTTCTCAGCGTGCGGAGAAGGTCCACCCCTCAGGAGCAGACGCGGTCGGCGTTTTGCCGGCGGGTGGCTCGACGACTTGCCACTTGTGCCACCACCAGTTGCCGGGAATGATTGCCCCCGACTTTACTGGACCGCTGGCCTCGATGCCCCCTTCGGGGCCCTTGCCACGCAGGAGGCGTCGGTTCGCCGTGCAGTGCAACCCAATCCTAGTTCATGGTTGGGATAACATGTAAAATTCACATTGCTATTCCTTATTGGGTTGAAGTACCCTTAAAAAATGGAGAATGTGACCCAACGATGACAAAGAATCAGGCCATCGCCGACCGGCATCACCGCGAACCTTGCCCAAGTCCAGTCCGCGGGGAGGTGATTCGATTCTACCTTCTCGCTGACAATGACCTTGCCGTCGTCCGTCAGCCCCACGTAGCCTTGGCTGTCCAGTAGATTAAAAAGGGGATTATATTACCCCAAAAAAGGTTAAAGGTTGCCAACTCTACTACTAGGTAGCGGCTGTACCAGGGGTTGTACAAGGCAATCTCGCCGTTGCCGACATCCACTACCCGGTAAGTCTCCCGGTTCCAGGCGTCAGGCTTTAGATGGAAGGTGCTCCTGGGCCATGCTTGCAGCCCTTCAAAAGCAAACAAAGAGGACACCCCAGCTTGCTCAACTTGCTTCTTTTTTCGGGAGTCTTGAGTATTGTGCCTTAAAGAATAGAAAGGTCATTGCCAAGAGCGACTCAGGCACGGGGTCCATTTGTTGGGCCAGCTTGGATTGTCCATCTGCTGGGGCGACATGCGAAGCCAAGATTCGAACCCCGGGCTGTAGAGCCCCACGAGCGTTCCTGGCCTCAGGTATGGGCGGAGCTCCTGAAACTGCCACTGCTGGCGAGACCAATCCGAGTTGAACTCTTCGTCCGCGCGGATCGGCCGGCTCGCGTAGCCCTCGTGGTCGTCCCAGAGGGAGACGAACCTCTGGGTCTGGGTACTCAGGAGCCCATAGTATCCGGCCCCCTGCCGCAGTGTCCAGCGGCACTGCTGCCAGTCCTTGAAGCCGCCGGCCGAGGAAACTTCACCAAAGAGCTCTCCACCTTTATGGCACAGGATGCTGTTCGTTTCCTTAGTTGTCCAGGAACCTGGGGGAATTAAAGGTTAACCTTTGGGATTCTATTGGGGTTAGAATACCCAAAAAAGGTCAAAGGTTCCTACTCTCCTACTAAGTTTCTTGGTTGTGCAACCCGAAGGAGCCCTGGCCCGCATCCACCACGGTCCAGCGTTCCGAGAGCCAGTCGTCGGGAAGGCCCTTCTCAAAGTCGCGGCTGCCACTGGAGCGCACTTTGCCATCCGACGCCATGTTCAGGTACTCGTTGTAGCGGTGGTTGTGAAGCGCAACACTGAGGCCCGGACTTGGCGCGAAGGGTGGCGGTGGGGGCACGTCCTTGGTCGCAAAGGCCCTCACGGCCTGCAGGGCCTTGTCTCTGCTGGGCTGGGACACGAAGGGGATCGCAGAGAGGACCACGGCGAACTGATTCGCAATGTCCACCAGCTTGAACCTCTTCTCCTCGGACTTGAAGGGCCCGAAGCCCATCTGCGCGCTCATCTCCAAGCTGTTCCTGGGGGGGATTTTGGGGGCCCTAGAAGAATTGAAAGTTCCATGGGCTCTAAAGGGTATAAAGGGATTTAGGACCCATCGAAATTTTAAAATCTCTTCTAAATCCACCCCCAGGTTCCCCTCCAAGAGGGCCCCAAGCTTGAAGCTCATGAGCTTGCTGGGGTGCTCGAAGGTGAAGAGCTGGAAGGCCTCAGAAATCTCTCAGCTCAGGGCCCAGACTTCTGCTTTCGAACTGCTTCAGGTAAACACTGCAACACACATTAGAATGAAGCATCCCTAAACCCTAAACCCTAAACCCTAAACCCTAAACCCTAAACCCTAAACCCTAAACCCTAAACCCTAAACCCAACATTTCATTAGGAAACGCCTGTGCGCGAATCACAGGGCCCAAGGGGCTCCCTGGGCGGCAGTGAGGCTCAGGCGCCGTGCGGCCGCTGAGCCACGCAGCTCCTCCACTCAGAAGGTCTAGGGTTTAGGGTTCAGGGTTTAGGGTTTAGGGTTTAGGGTTTAGGGTTTTTGGTTTAGGGTTTAGGGTTTAGGGAGAAAACCACAAAACCTGGAGTAGCGGCACCCTTCGACTCACTAAACAATACCAAACACGGAACCGAAACGTTTCGTGCCCAGTTTCTGAGGTCAGGTTGACGCCCACTTGGGAATAGCTGGCGGAAGCCAGGTACATCTCCTCTTCCTGCATCCATTCCAGTACTCCCTGGTCCTGGTCCTCCTGCACTTTGCGACGAGCCGTGGACTCCTGAAGAACACATCAGTGTGTGCTGTAGGTCGGCAGTGCTTGCAGTTCAACTCAAGCTATCCTGCTGATGTTCTCTTCGTTTGTCGTGCGGTTGTGCGCCAAAGTCCCGGGGTTAAGCACGGGTACACTGAGTGTCCTACACATTATACAGACTGACATGCTGCATGCCTACGGGTCGGATTTAACATCTGGGCCTGGCCCGTCTGGAGGAACTCCGTCGACTTCGTCCTGGGGATGGCCTGCTGGGGGTATGGCGCGTCCAGCCAGTTTGACGTGACGGCATGCGTGTTTTCCTTCACGAAGTCCGTGTTGCTTCCGAAGCGCTTGCTGAGGCGGAGGGACCGGCCGAAGAGCAGAACGCCACTGGACTTGATCTCCATGCGAAGCACGCTCAGGTCCTGGCCATCGGGCCTGCCCGAAGGCCAGCACACGGTCGTGTCGATGGAGACGAGCGGCTCGGGCATCACCTCGAACTGCACGCCCCCCACGAAGGCCACCACGGGCTGGACGTTGATGCCGTACGTCACCGTCACGCAGCTCTCGATGGCCTCGGCGCTCGTGTAGAACGAGTAGCCTGCCACTGACACCAAGAGTTTGTGAGGTTACACCTTCTCTACCAGTACTGCAGAGGAACTCGTCTAAAAGCATCTAGGGCCTTGCCACTTGTCCCAGTTCTTTTTCATCCATTCGGTGCCACATGGCACAGCCCAAGGCGCCAGCTCCACGAAGTCATTCTCGTCCTGGACCTGGCCATCCACAATTTAGGGTTTAGGGTTGAGGGTTTAGGGTTTAGGGCTTAGGGCTCAGGGCTTAGGGCTTAGGGTTTAGGGTTTAGGGTTTAGGGTTTAGGGTGGCCATCCACAAGAGAGCAACACTGATGACACTCAGGATCACAAACAGGGAACTGAGCACTGAGATGCACTGAGCTCGAAGGCCCTAAACCCTAAACCCTAAACCCTAAACCCTAAACCCTAAACCCTAAACCCTAAACCCCCCTGCCTGCCAGTCTGCTTCCGTCGCCTGGCCGTTCTGCCCAGTCTTGTTCTTCGGGGCGAAAGCCAAGCAGGAGCTCGAGTCCTTCTCGTTGCCGTTGAACCTGAGATGCTCTAAGACTCTCAAAGCGGCTCTAAACCCTAAACCCTAAACCCTAAACCCTAAGCCAAATTTCCAGTGCAGCACAGGGGGCTGCGTGACCAGCCTGGGCTGCTGGTTGGTCCCCTCGTCGTGGAGTTCGAAGCTGATACCGTCATTCGGGGGGTCGTCCTCGCCCTTCCTATACTCCCCTTAGAACCTTCATAACAATAGTCTTTTTTTTAATATCCTCTTGGGTTTTACATAAACAAAAACAAAAAAAAACAATTCCCAAGGGGATGTAGCTTCTGCAGGGCCGAGACCTTCGCTTTGCGCTTCTGGGTGTGGGTCTTGATGACCAGGCTTTTGCCGGCGCTGTGCAGCACCGGCGGCGCCCCAGCGGCCGGGAACTGCGCAAGGAGACTCGCATGGCAAGAGCAACCGTGAGGGTTTAGGGTTTAGGGTTTAGGGTTTAGGGTTTAGGGTTTAGTCTGAACAGTGCGGCTGTGAATTACGTGCCCATGGTTAGGTTACTCTACAGATTGAGGGGAGGCACCAGAGTGAACCGAACCTGCCTTCGACAGGGCGGCCTCTTGGATCAGGGACGCGCCGCCCTTCAGGACCTGCCCGGCCACTGTGGCCGCCACTTTCGCGAAGCCCTCCAGAACGTCAGAGAGGATGTCGCCCATCCTGTTGAGGTGGCTCAAGGGGGGAACGCCATTCCTTACGTCGAACATGTTGCCGCCCAGTTGGCGCACAGACGCCCAGGGCATAGCGCTGGTCACCTCTTGCGCGAGACAGTAGAATGGGGTCTTTTGGTCATGGGCTCGCGAGGTCGCGGGCTCGTCCCCAACAAAGTCGATGCATTCATCTGCCACCTTCTGGCCCATGCTCACCAAGGACTTGACTGCCTTCACAGCACCCGCCATAGTCTTCAAGGGCTCTATGCCCTCTGTTGCATCCTGCAGGTAGCCGCCCAGTTTGCGCACAGTCGGCCAACTCATCGTGTATAGCGCTAGATTGAAGATTTTGCCAGCGACACAAGGTAGAATGCCCAAAGCTCCGGATGTCGAGCAGTCCTTGATCTGTGTCACAAGGGAGATGACGGCCTCCGGGGCACCAGCAATAGTCTTCAAGGGCTCTATGCCCTCTGTTGCGTCCTGCAGGTAGCCACCCAGTTTGCGCACAGTCGGCCAACTCATCGTGTATAGCGCTAGATTGAAGATTTTGCCAGCGACACAGGGTAGAATGCCCAAAGCTCCGGATGTCGAGCAGTCCTTGATCTGTGTCACAAGGGAGATGACGGCCTCCGGGGCACCAGCAATAGTCTTCAAGGGCTCTATGCCCTCTGTTGCGTCCTGCAGGTAGCCGCCCAGTTTGCGCACAGTCGGCCAACTCATCGTGTATAGCGCTAGATTGAAGATTTTGCCAGCGACACAAGGTAGAATGCCCAAAGCTCCGGATGTCGAGCAGTCCTTGATCTGTGTCACAAGGGAGATGACGGCCTCCGGGGCACCAGCAATAGTCTTCAAGGGCTCTATGCCGTGTGTTGCGTCCTGCAGGTAGCCGCCCAGTTTGCGCACAGTCGCCCACTTCATCTTGTATAGCGCTTGATTGAAGATTTTGTCAGCGAGGCACGTGATAACCTTTGGGCCGGATGGTGGAGGAGGAGGTGGAGGAGGAGGAGAAGGAGGAGCAACACCAGCAGCAGCATGATCGGCAACAGAACCCGAAGCTTGGCCGGTAAAAGGGTGCATGGGGTTCATCGCGTTGCCGAGGTCCATTTTGGGGAGCCAAGTATCGTGCTGCTTCGACGTTTGGTCCGCTTGGTCGACCTCAATGAGAAGGTCGCCCGCCACGCAGGTCTGGATTTCGCTGCCCAAGTCGACCACAGTCTTCAGCGGGCCAGGCCAATCGACCCGAGCATGCCTGCCGAAATCGAAGAGTGTGGTTTTCTGGCCCATCAAGTTGATGTCACATGAAGGAAGTTGAAGGCCGGCGCCTGCAGCATCCATTGTGAACCCTATCCCTTGGCCGGAGCACTGGACTCCCCACTCTTTGAAGCCGCGCTTGAGGATGTCAATGGCCTTCTCCAGGGTGTCGATGGCATTCTCGGCAATAAAGAGTATCTTGTCTGTGGCCTTCTCGTAGAGGTCCCCCATGGTATCACCAACTTTGTCAAGTTTGTCTTTAACTTCCTTCCCAACCTTCTTACCTCCCTCAACCACCTTCTCACCTACCTTCTTACCTCCCTCAACCGTCTTCTCAGCCCCCTTTTTCATCCCATTGCCAATGTGTTGAGCCGCCTCCCCAATAGGCCCCCAGATCGCCGCCTGCCGCCGTTGACGCAGCAAGCGGGACAGGCCTTCGGACTCCGTGGTGGGCTTCGACTCATGTTGGCTCCTTCGAGCATGTCGAAGGGGACGTCCTTCCTGCCTATTGTCTTCATTGCCATCAAGGGCGAGATCAAAAAGATCAGCCCAAGCAACATGGCTTGCTTCATTGGTCACGAAAGACAAACTTAAGAGTTCTAACTCACTGGCGAATGCCGGCGCTTGAACCGCAAGCCCAGGATCACGATGTGTAGTCCAGGTCAATGCTCTGGCACATGTTCGACTACGTGACATCGACTGGATGCCGTAGCATGTCGTCATACAGCTTAGGTCAACTCGAGGGAATCCGGTAGGCTCTCTCAGCCACGGAATCTACCCCCAAAAACGTGCAGGATGCAATGACCCCGTGGGCCCTCAGACCTGGACCGCAAAACACACAAACACACAGAGACACACAGAGACACACAGAGACACACAGAGACACACAGAGACACACAGAGACACACAGAGACACACAGAGACACACAGAGACACACAGAGACACGCAGAGACACGCAGACACGCAGACACGCAGACACGCAGACACGCAGACACGCAGACACGCAGACACGCAGACACAAAGACACACAGACACCCAGACACACAGACACGCAGACACGCAGACGCACAGACACGCAGACACGCAGACGCACAGACACACAGACACACGGCTCATGTTTTTCTTTTGCTGTGGCCTGCCGCGCATTTTAGCTGTGGAGGCCTCCACAGCTAGCAGTCCTCGATCACAATGACTTTCGAGATGCTCTCCTGCATGCCTGCCGTCAGCTGCTTGCCGAAAACCTCCAATCTGGCACAGAGCACCTGCGAATGCGCATGGATCACCTCCCCCTTGTACAATGAACCGCACGTCGCTGCACCTGTCGTCCTCCAGCAACGCCTGCATGTCTTCGCTCGTAGTTGGCTCAGGTAACTCCGCAGCAAGGCGCAAGGGCTCTAGTTTCCCATGTGTTGGGGGAGGGACATCGAGCTCGAATTTCACGGTCAGGGTGTCGTCACTGAGTGCAGCAGCTCCCCACGGCTCAGCCCGAAGATGCCCCGCGCAGCAGGAGGATGACCCGGCAAAATCCGGCAAATGCACATCGCGGGTTTCACAGGAACGATCGTGGCACAACATCGCACGTCTCACCCCCACTGCGCAGACTGCGCAAACTCACCCTCCCACATCTTGAGGTAGACGCGAGACCGAAGGCCTTAACATCGTTTTGAGCATGAAAGGCGAGAGATCCATGGTGCTGCTGCGACAACCGGTCTGCCCACGGGTTGTAGACAAAGTGGAACGTCTTGTCACCAAGACAGTTCGGAGAAGACTTGACAAAATCCTCCTTACACTGCTTCAACAGGAGCTTCAACCAAGAGAAGCCAGCAATTTTCCAGACATACTCGCCCCTCGCGACCTCCTGCGCGCAATTGACACTTGCTCCTCAACGAACCACATGTTTCCTGCACAGGGCCGGAAGTGCCCCGTTATATACCCTTGTCCCCAGAGACTCCAATACCCCTTACTTAAGGAAGATTCCTTAAACCATTACAAGGAGCCCTCGTATGTCTTTAAGGAATATTCCTACATGAAGGGGTTTAGGGTTTAGGGTTTCGGGTTTAGGGTTTAGGGTTTAGGGTTGAGGGTTTAGGGTTTAGGGTATTGGAGTCCCTGGGTCAACGAATGTAAACCCTCACAAACACAGCAACAGCAGGCTCGGGGCTGCGATCGCACTGAGTCCCAAGCGAAAGGAGCCAGTTCTCTACGGGATCATCGCCTCGGGTTTAGGGTTTAGGGTTTAGGGTTTAGGGTTTAGGGTTTAGGGTTTAGGGTTTAGGGTTTAGGGTTTAGGGTTTGGGGCTGCTTGAGTTAAGGCATTGTATAACTTTATCCTCAAAAGCATGCAGCTTTGCACAGGAGGGCTCGTTTTGCAATTTACTATATGAATTTGATAGAGCATGAGAGAGCTCACACAGGCTAAAACCAACTCAGGAGAAGATGTTAAACTGGCTACGACTTTTGTCTTCGTCTCCTTGGGGATCGTAGACGCCTTTCCCCTCCAAGCCCCCTAGACCCGGGCATAGCGTCTAGGGTTTATAGAAGGTTTATAGAAGTGTCCGGACGTACCCCAACAGACTTTCTTTACGGGGCTTATCAGATTTTGGGGCTTCTAAGGATCAGGGTCTCAGGCCTTGGTCCCAGATTACAGGGTGCTGGAATGCCGAGACTCACAAAACACCCTGTGTCAAGATAATATCCCTTAAATGATAATCGGAACCCTTCATAGGATTTAAGGTATATTCCTTGATTCAGCGGTTTTGGAGTCTCTGGGGACGCCCATGCCTGCAAGGCGTACTTCGGAGCTGGCTTTCCAACTGTGCCACACAGAACTTGGCTGCACTCAGGAGGGTAGCCATAAATTAAACTTTTAGCTGCCTTAATAAGAAACCCAAAAAACCAAAAAAGGTAAGGATCTAAAGTTACAGTAAAGTACCACAAAGAGAATACGCAGACGCAGACCAAAGACGGAGGTTTAAGCCTAAGCAGGCGCACCTTGAGCGTGAGCTGGTCTTCGTCGGTTGCATTGTGCTCCCTTACGACGGCGGTCCGAATCCACCTCGCTACAAGGACGGTTTTGCAAGACCGTAGGTGGGATCCATGCTCGAACTGCGCTTCAGACCTCGCAAGACGGAACACAGCATGCCAAGCTTTGGGCGCACGCCGGCTGCGCTAAGACCGGCACCCGTCTGGATCCGGATCCCCCATGGTCGCAACTTCGCCGCGTCGCTCTACTGCGCTGAAACGAAAAATGCTCTGCTTCTAAGTACGTGTCAAATTTTGGCGGAACTGCAGGACTCGTCGATGCAGGCTTGCAGTACTGGCACTTTATGGATGCAGTTCCTCCAATCCACAAGAGCATTCTCAGCATGCCTCGATGCGTTCGAGCTATCACAGCGAGGCGTTGCGTAATTAAGCCGTAGGCCACTCACTGACTTGCATGGGTTTTCCGTCAAGTTGGAATCAAGGCAGAAGTTGCTGCAGCTGCTGCTAAACCCTAAACCCTAAACCCTAAACCCTAAACCCTAAACCCTAAACCCTAAACCCTAAACCCTAAACCCTAAACCCTAAGAAAGAGTTCCGAACTTATTTTCAGTCGAAGTCTGCGTCTCCAGCCGCAGAAAACATTCGTTCGAAGCAGGGGGCTCGCTCTTGTCTCCCGAGTCTTGCTGGTTTAGGGTTTAGGGTTTAGGGTTTAGGGTTAAGGGTTTTCTATTTTATGGTTGCTTCATTCTATTAAAGATGCATAAGAGGTGCATATGTGAAATTGTAGGAAGCCACGAAGTTGCCAGACATGCCCGGCGAGGAGAGCGCGGCTCGTTGCAAGTGTGGCGCGCGCACGTGCGCACATCCCAACTGGGATATTTGTACACCCAAAGAGCCCAATATTGCTTAATTAAGGAATATACCTTAAATCATATTAAGGGTCCCTATATGATTTAAGGAATATTCCTTAATTAAGCTATATTGGGCTCTTTGGGCATCAGACTCCATCAGAATACTTCAGCGGCGGGCGCGACCTTCAGGGCGTATCGTAGGTTGAGTCTGGTGGTTCGCCTAGTTTGAAGTCAATCTCCAAAAGAAAGCACGGGGGGGGGTTTAGGGTTTAGGGTTTAGGGTTTAGGGTTTAGGGTTTAGGGTTTAGGGTTTAGGGCTGTCTGTGGGGTCACACGTGCCCCATCAGTCCTCCGAAACCATGGGCCCGGCACTCACAAAGTCCTACAGCCTCTACTTGGAGGCTCATGGTACTTCGTAACTAAGTATAACTGTACTTATGGCCCACTTATGGGCCCCTTAAGTGCCCTAATCTGGTTATAAGTACAGTTATAGGTACAGTTATAATTAGTTACTAAGTACCATGAACCTCCAAGTATCATACGGGGCTTGTTTCAGCTGGTTTAGGGCGCCAACACCCGATCCGCAAACACGAAAGCTCTAAGATTTGGAAGGGCCCCTCATCCCTATACCTTAAACCCTAGATGGAAAACCCTGAACCTTTTTAAACAGAAAAACAACCTAGAAAACAAGAAAGGTGAAGGAGGAGCCTCAGATACGTCAGGAGCCCTTGTGGCACGCGCCCAAGGTTCACACAAGCTCCACAGCTCAAGTTCAGGGTTCAAAAGATTCGGCTTTAGTTCTTGTTTCGGTGTTCAGGGTTTTGGGTTCAACATTCGGGCTTGGGTTTCTCGTTAGGATGCAGGGTTGGGGTTTAGGATTCCTGGGGTGGGTTGAAGATTCGGGCTTGGGTTCCATCCCTAAACCCTAAACCTAAACTATAAGCCCTAAGCCTTAAACCCTAAACCCTAAACCCTAAACCCTAAACCTTAAGCCGAGTCAAAGAATTCAAGGACACACCCTCGGCTTCGGACCTTGGAGCTCTCAGTTCCCCTCCATGCAATCCCCACCTCCGTACCAGTCAGAGGTCTGCAATCCGTAGACCCTAGCTGGACCCTAAGAAACCTACGTGCTTGGGGCTCCTCACTACGGATTTCCTTATGTACGCCCTTGAAATTTTAGGGTTTTTTGGGGTTAAGTTAAGCCCTGGACCCTAAACCCGACCGACCCAGGACCTGAAGTCAGGGTTCAGGGCTTCGGGGCTTACTGTATCGGTTTAGAGCTTTGGGATGTTTCGGGTTTAGGGTTCAGGGCTTCAGGGCTTAGGGTTTAGGCTGAAGACCCTTACGCGAAACTCCGCAAATACCGTCCGGCTGCTTTAGCCCTGCCACCTCCCACAGCAACAACCTGACCCTGATCGAGCTGAACTCCTTGTTCATGATCCTCATGCCGCCTTTCGGGATGGAACTTAGGGTTTAGGGTTTAGGGTTTAGGGTAGTTTAGGGTTTAGGGTTTAGGGTCTAGGGTTTAGGGTTTAGGGTTTGAAGGTCCCAGTGCCCCATCTGTCTACAGTTTCTAACCATGGGCCCATGGCTGGGCCCTTACCCTTGTCCGAAGCAAGGGCCCTCATTATACATACTGTGAACCCGACGTTTAGGGTTTAGGGTTTAGGGTTTGGGGTTTGGGGTTTTGGGTTTAGGCCTACACCCTAAATCGTCCACCCTCACGACGAGGAGTTTGTGCTCGGGCTCTTGGGAGGGAACTTACGGGGTGCTTCAGCAGCAAACCCTGAATCCTAAGACCTCTCAAACAGCGGAAGAAGGGTTCGAGGCCTATTCCAGTATGAGGTTGAGTACACGAAGAACCTTCAGGAATAATCCTACTCATCATCATTCAGGCGTGTATATTGCTTTTGCTTCTACTGGAAAACATGGGGTTGCGCGTGGTCCCCGCTTTAATGCATCTCCCCAATCTACATTCAGGCATGCGCAGGTAGTGTCAACGACATCACTGTCAAACTACAATCACCAATATTCACAGACTGCCGGGGATCCGGACAATCCTGGGCGTCACTCAGTGCCTGCTGCCTAGCTTCATGCTGAATACGATGTATAGCGCCAGCGGATGGGGGCCGAGTCAGAAAAACGTGGGAAGTAAAACGCAAAGCCTCCATCAGAGAACAGGGCGGCGCGTTCAGGCAACGCCTAGTCCTCCGTCAGAAAACGCGCAGGCCCCACTCAGCACAACAGGGGAGCCGATTCAGGAAAACTCAAAGCCTCTCCTTGACGCAGACACGTTCAGAAAATGATGTTTAAAAGTGCCCAATCCCGCGAAGCACATGCAGAGCAGCCGTAAACCGAAAAGTCTCTGCGCGACAACGAGCAGCCGTAAAACGAAGAGGCTCACTGCGAAAACGCTACGAGCTTCGAACGTGCGAACGCAGGAAACTTGCAGTTCTTCTGAACATGCCCAGCTGTTTTCGCACTGGCCTCCTGCGTTTGTCTGAGGGAGCCCGCTGTGTTCTCGGACTGGCCCGTCCCGTTTTCCGAGTCGGCCGATGCTCGCAATGTGCACGTTCCGCGAACCAGCAAACGGCTACAATAGAGTTGGCGGGTGATTCACACGGTCAAATCGTGCATGCATTACATTGTCACCGCGTTCACAAACTTACTCCTCTTAATAGGCGTGCCTAGGCGCTGGTGCAAGTTTGTTTTTTTGTCTCGTGCCCTTTTGCTTGCATATTGCTCGCATCCGTACCGAACATGAAGCCAGGAGGTGGGGAGTCGGATGGGATGATGAGCTGCCCAGATTCGTTGACTTTGAATGGAAACACGAAACCACGGAGGCTTCAGCCCAACCCAACCCAACCCCCAAACTTATGGGCCCTATACTAGACCCGACTCTGTGAAACAACCTTGCACCGCACAAGCGAGAAAGAGAGAGAGAGAGAGAGACAGCAACAAATCTGAACCAAAAACAACCCCTAAACTCGAAACTCAAAACCCTGAACCCTGAAACCCTAAACCCTAAACCCTAAACCCTAAACCAGACAAGCGTCAAGGCTGTCCACCCACAGCCACACCTGGGCTGCTCTTATTGGGGTTTCGGGACTTGAATTGCAAACTCTGCCTCTGGACCAAGGGTTTAGGGTTTAGGGTTTAGGGTTTAGGGTATAGGGGACTTAACAGTTGGCATAGAGCATACGGGACTTAGGAGCTAGAATAGGGCTTTGGGGGCGAGTCTGTTATACTACGGCCTGTGTATATTACCCTGAACCCCAAACATGCTTACTGGCGCCCTATCTGCCGTGCAGCCTGTGGCTCTGGAAGCTTACACCTGACCTCAAGGCCTAAGCTTGCTGTTGGTTCGGGAATGCGGGAAGGAGGTACCCTATAAAGATCCCTTAAAGGATATATGTAGAGCCCTCATTCCCTCTTTCCCTGCTAAGCCAGCAGTGATTACGACTCTGGTTTTGGCGCTCCTTACATAGAGCATTGGCTTCGAACCTACAGCGCTGTGGGCTTGACCAGAACCAATGGGCAACTTGACACTCAGCTGTTTCGTGTAACGCAATATCTCGCGAGGTTCCCCAGTAGAGCCTTCAAAAAGGCACCCTTTTCCCTACTACTCCATTGTAATAAGGAACCCCAAGACTACTACTCTATTGTAATCAGGAACCCCAAGATGCAATAGGAAAAAGGGCACCACTGGGCAGCCTAGCTCGAGGCTGATGTCGAAGGGCCCCTATGGAGTGTTGTACACGCTGGATGCAGATGAAGTATGGGTTTACATTACCCGTATTCCCACAATAAGACCCACGATATACACTCACCAATATCTATAAGGAGCCCCGTGTACACTCACCAACACGGCAATAAAAACCCTTCAGGGTTTAGGGTTTAGGGTTGAGGGCTTAGGGTTTAGGGTTGAGGGTTTAGGGTTTAGGGTTGAGGGAAGCCATCCACCCGGTTTAGGGCTTAGGGCTTAGGTCTTCGTTTCACTTTGTACCTCTGAAGCCTAAATAAACCCTACCGTTCAACACTCACTCCTACGTTGCTATAGGGGCCTGAATCGTTAGAATAGGGTCTTGGGGAAGCTTATCGTATGTTGTCTGTTAGGAACCCCAAACCATAAGATTGCCAGTTGCTTGGGCTACCCTAAACCCTAAACCCTAAACCCTAAACCCTAAACCCTAAGCCCTTATATTGATTGTTTTACTCACTGGGAGCCGGAGGCAGTCGGAAGACGGGCTTGAAGGTCTTCCCACCATTGCAGGAACGAGACGTAGACGTGAAGTACCTGGGAGAGGCAACGCTGTGCCCTAAATCCTAAGCCCTACGCAAAACCCCAAACCCTAAACCCTAAACCCTGCGCACCTGCGCCCCTCTCGCGTGGCAAAGTACATGGGGGGTTTCCGAGATAGGGGTACCCCGTTAGGGATTCCTCAAGTACGGGTTATAGTATTTTGGAATCCTACGACTTGGGGGCGTATATTTAGGGTACTGCTATTTGGGGACAGGCCCACATTGCTTTAGAACAGCGCTCGTGACTGCTTTGCAACTGCGCCACTTCGTCCAGCCTGCTCCAAGCTCAGTGTCCGTTGCCTGTCCCGCGATTCCGATGCCGATAGCGGCGTCCGCATCGTCGGTATCTGCATTCTGGCAGGGTTGGCTTCGGCAGTTGTTGCAGAAGCCCCAACGAGCTTTGTTGCCATCCTTGCACTCGATGTTGAATCCAGGCCTCACAGAAGCGTCTACAACAAAAGCGCAAGAGGAACATGCCACAACACACCGACTGCTGTTACATATGCTGTTTCCTGGCCTTTGCATGGGGCAGTCCTTGTACGAGCCTTTGTCGGGGCCGAAGGCGCTGAGAATGCCTTCCTTGTCCACCTTTGCGTCTCGAATGTACCCGGCGCTGAAGAGGGCCTTGGCGCTGTCGTACTTTTTGGAGAAGATGTGCTCCACGCAGTTTGTCTCCGGTTTGCCGACGCACATGCGAATCCGCTCAAAGGGCTCCGTGTTAAAGTCGCTGTACTTGGCATCCTCCTCGGTGTCCGGAGACGATGCTTCGTTGAGGAGCTCCGTGTTGGTCCAGAGTGGGCTGGAGAATCCCAGCTTCGCTGTCTTGCCAACCTTCAGCACAAGCTTCCAGTTCGCCTGAGAGTGAGGTTTAGGGTTTAGGGTTTAAGGTTTAGGGTTTAGGGTTTAGGGTTTAGGGTTTAGGGTTTAGGGTTTAGGGTTTAGGGTTTAGGGTTTAGGGTTTAGGGTTTAGGGTTTAAGGTGGATTCTGGCTGCGTGGATCTGCTTCGGTTTAAGCCTTGAGGGCTCTTCCGGGTTCCAGCTTGCAAGATCTTGAGGTTCGTGCTTGACTTCTCCTTGCCCACGCCCGAGCCCCCTATATAAGACCGAGTGAAACCGCATGTGACTCCCTGCTCCGGGTGAACTGAAATCAAGGCTTCCCGGCTTCCCCAACCTTGATCCCCAATCCGCGCACGCCCAGTAGTGTGAGAGTTCTGGGCAGGCTAGTATAGGGGCCTTTAACAATTAGAATAAGGTTTTGGGGTACATCCGCCGAGGCCTCGGGCCGAAGGTGTATAGGTTGTGAGAACAGGCACCCCCCCCCAAGCCCAAAGCCACATGTCGGCCCCCTTTTTTTGCCTGGAATGGGTACCCCCCGTAGGCGGACCACGATCTGAAAGCGGACGGTTCGCAGCATCAGGGCAGTTGAAGCGCCCCCCAGCAGCCCCCCCCCCCCCCCCCCCCCGAGCATTCTGTTACGAACCCTGTCCAAGCCGAACCGTCTAAACCCTGAACCTTAAACTTTAAACCCTAAACCCTAAACCCTAAACTCTAAACCCTAAACCCTAAACCCTAAACCCTAAACCCTAAACCCTAATTGCTTACGTTGCCACTCACGAGGGCTTGCCTCAGGGCTGCCGCAGGCCTTTTTGCAGAAGCCACCGCGGAGTAGAGCACATCACTGGGGACAGAAATCTGGAGCCTGTAATGCCATTCAGAAAAACTTCCCAAGTAGAAAAGCCCGGGCGGGCTGGGTGGGGGCGCTTTCGACACTCCCTGTGAGACTGCTAGCCAAAGATCTGAGAAGGCGATGGAGCCACCAGGGCAACAGCAGAATAGCAGCTGCGCACCCTCATGGCCTGCTCACCTTCGCCTGACGTCTGGCTTTGGTGATTGACACGCTCACTCAGCAATAGCCCTTTCATTGCTTACGTTGCCACTCACGAGGGCTTGCCTCAGGGCTGCCGCAGGCCTTTTTGCAGAAGCCACCGCGGAGTAGAGCACATCACTGGGGACAGAAATCTGGAGCCTGTAATGCCATTCAGAAAAACTTCCCAAGTAGAAAAGCCCATATCCCCGCACTGGTGGAGCGAAGCACCGCCGCACACATGGGAAGTGTCAGAAAAAATGAAGCCATGCAAAAGAAGCCCGACCAGGAGTGTAACAGCAGCCTGCAAATCTCAAGCAAACCACGCCTGGGAAGGCAAACGGAATCTTCACGATTGGAGCCGATCGTGGAGGCCCTCGTCCTCAGGAACAGCAAACAGCCTCTCCAGCAGCTGCCCACAGGCCATTGTAGCGCAGCATCGCCACAAAGACACGGAAACATGCCCGGTACCCGAGGATAGAGCGCCGGTGGCACCTACACTTGAATTCGAAGCTTAGAAAACCTTGGGTTTCGTTCTTGGCTTGCGAGCACTTCTGTTGGCAGCGCGTCTTCTGCGCTTGCCACGCGAAGGCCCATCTGCAGGGTTTGACTCGCTGGGGATGTACACGATCCTTGGCAAGATGTCTGCGCCGAGGGTATAGGCAGCTGCACTCTGAAGCACTTTGAGAAAAGCGTGGGCAGAACTGCGCCCCTTGGACGCTGCCCCTACCACGGCCTTGGCATCCACCAAAAACGCCACCTTGTGATGATGTCTTTTGGGATTGCGCGTAACCCACTTCAAGCCCAACAAGTAGCCATGTACTTCTAACACTCCAGCATGTGATTTCCACTTGGCACGTGAGGAAACCACAGTTGCGAAGTCTCGCTGCGTCAGCTTTAGTCGCCTTGGCTTCCCATCACGCCTGAGCTCCACCGGATCTTCGGGACAAGGCGTGAGTCGCACGAAATCGCCCCTGCGTTCTGCCATTCTGCAGACATCAGCGGCCTCGGAAGACGCACACACACTCCGGCAAACGCCAAAACCATACTCTGGGCAAGCATCTGTGGCAATAAGCGTTGCGAGAGGCAATCGGTCCAGGCCAGCAGCAAGCAATGGTGAGAGAAGCAGAGTAGTGAGGAACTCATTCAGAACCCCGGATGGCACGCGTCGGGTGTCCAGTTCAGGTGTAAGCTGCACAAAAGAACACACATCGCTGTAGATACTGAAGAAGCCCCGTTGGAGAAGCGCAAACCATTCCCATATGCCTAGGAGACTGTGCACACTTCTTGGGCTAGCCACACCACCGTGCAACAAGTCCAATGTTCTGCAGACTGCATCGCCCAGGCGACCTTCAGCAGGCTCAGCAACAGGAGGGTTGTTTCTCAGTTCGCAGCCAAGAGCAGTGATGCTGTCAGCCAGAGTGACGTCCTTTCGACGATTACGAGGGATCCCATTCCTCGCGAAAGCATCATCCAGTCGGGTCAACGTTCTTTCCCCGCGTTGCACGCTGCGGTGGAAGAGAACAGTGTCGTCAGTGGCCACCATAACCAGCTCTTGTTGATCGGCAGGAGGGTCGTGGTCAGGACTCAGAATGCATGACTCCTGAATACCTGCCCCCAGGCAAGTGGCAACAGTGGTGCTTTGAGCCACAGCTGACGACCAAGAAAAACCCATTGGCCACACCACGTGCGTAGGGTACAGCCAGCTGCTTGAAGATATGCTCCCAGACTCCCCACCATCATCGCAGAATGTGAGAACGTCTTCGCACGTCATTCCAGCATCCAAGAGCTCGTGTACTCTGACAGGAGGCTGCGCCAGCCAAGGTTGTAGCTCAGCGGGCACCTTCAAGACATCGAAAAAGGTGCAGGCGTCACGCTTGGAGAACAGCAAGTCCTCACCTGGCTTCACCTCCAGCTCCAAGAAACAAGAAGGATTGGCCAGTCTCCTCGGTTTTGGAGGGTCCTTTGCCAAAGCAGAAACACTCGAACCATCCCAGATCTTTCGCTGCCGTCCATTTGTCTTTTCAGCAGCAAAAATGCCAGCAGTGGCCAGAGCGCGGCGCCTGAGCCGGAGTTTACCGCAGCGAAGCTCACGTATGGTAAGGCGCAGGTACTCCAAGCGTTCTGAAGCAGTGACCCTAGGTGGCGGTTGTACGTTGGCAGTCCCCGGGAAAACGTTGCTAGCATCCCTAATCTGCGCGGCGAGCTCCGCTTCGATGAGCCCAAGCGGCTCGCACGTTGCAGCCACCTGAGGAAGATCCACGTCTTCAGCGCGAAGGTCCCGGTATTGCTTGGACCCCGCTCCTGCATCGCTATTCAAGGTGTTGCGCCACAGCAACGTGTGCCCGAAAAACTTATTCAGGCGGGCGAGGTAGCGCACCACCCTGTCTGCCACATGGAGCTGAACTGAACTCTGCGCAGCTGTAGCTCTCGCAGGAAAAGACTGTGAAGCCGTCGCAGCTTTGAGGCCTTGCTCCAGACAGTTTAAAGCTGCTAGACAGAAGTTGCTGACAGCCATGCACGTCTCCACGCGAATATCGCCCCTCTCCACCTGATCTGGCCAAGCAGCTAATTTGGGGATGGGGAAAAGGTTGCGAAGCCGATGTTTGGGGGTCGCACAGTCACAGGAGACCCAGTGTCTCCAGTAGACCGCCACATTGAGAGCGGAGCCTGGCAGAAACTGCTGTAGCGTGTCGCAGAAAACATCCGCAGCAGAGGTAGCTTGCACAGCGTCAGGTTGTAGCGTGGGTGTCGCGGGGCCATGAGCTCGCACAGCGTCATGTCGGAGCGTGGGCGCCGCAGGGCTGTGGGCTTTCATGCCGGCAGGCACACCACACACGAGTGCTTGGAGAACCGTCAGCTGTAACTTATGGCGAAGCAACCGCCGCTTGTTGCGATACCGCCTTGCAGGAGAACATGAACGTGTGGCCCAAGGCAGAGGAAAATCGTCGTGAACACCAGCCATATCCATTCCCTTGAGGCGGTAAGCAACTGTCCACGACAGAACCTCAGCAGTTAGCAGCAGCCCACCACAGGCGGGGCACGAAAAACCATGGCGCTTTCGACACTCCCTGTGAGACTGCTAGCCAAAGATCTGAGAAGGCGATGGAGCCACCAGGGCAACAGCAGAATAGCAGCTGCGCACCCTCATGGCCTGCTCACCTTCGCCTGACGTCTGGCTTTGGTGATTGACACGCTCACTCAGCAATAGCCCTTTCAACCCTAAACCCTAAACCCTAAACCCAACCCTTATTGCTTGGGGTCCAGCGACTTGGGCGCTGCGGAGTCACCATGCTCACGCGGATGCGCTAGGCCGGGCCGAGGCGGGTCGCGTAGTGTTAAAATCATCGTATAAATGTATTCGGAACCCTAAGGACTAATATTAGCAATCATTCAGGCTTCTATGATTAGGCAGAATCCAAGGGAGTCGAACGTCTCCTTTCCGAGCTGCTGTTGTCAGACGATGGCACATCTCTAGACAAGTAAGTATCCCTCCTGAAGGTCATGGGCTCGAGTATTGTCAGGAGTTTCGAAAAGAAGATGCTGCGAAAGGGCTTCGCCGGGTGTTGTAGAAAACTCGCCTCTGGTCGAGGTCTCGTTTCGAACCCTGAACCCTGAACCCCTGAACCCCTGAACCCCTGAACCCTGAACCCCTGAACCCCTGAACCCCTGAACCCCTGAAACCCTGAAACCCTGAAACCCTGAAGCCCTAAACCCTAAACCCTAAACCCTAAACCCTAAACCAGACAAGCGTCAAGGCTGGAGACCCAGAGCCACACCTGGACCGCTCATGTGGGGCTTCGGGATTTGAACTCCGGGGCTACGATGCAGGTTGGAGTTTAGGGTTTAGGGTTGAGGGTTGAGGGTTTAGGGTTTAGGGTTTAGGGCTATTGGGCCAGTTCGGGACCATGCCGCGGCGGTCGTGCTGCATGCTTGCGGATAAGAAGCACGGAATGAAGGGAAAAGCACGGGCTGCATGCTACGGCTCTATGCTGACAACAAACAAGGCCGCCACGTACCTGAACACAACTAGCTCTGGGCCGAGTTTGCTATCCGCTACATCGCTGCTTCTTTTCACACAATCTTGCCCTAAACCCTTACCTTGACACTGAAGCCCAAACAAGTTCTAGAGTTCCTTGGCCCTCCTGCGCCCTTGCAAAGGTCGTTGACACCATCAGGGACCGCCCTTGCAGTTCTCACACCCGCTAGCATTTAGGACATATGGTCTCGACAGCAACTGGATCCATGACATACACTGAAACATGTTTGCATAGAGAAATTATCGTATAGCTTGCTGTATAGGCACCAATCAAAGATTATGTATGTATACATATAAATATATATATATATACACATTATATACTTTTAACTTTGGACTGTTAATTATACGAGTCGGTATATGCAGGGATATAATAGGCAGCTGTAGTTATGGTGCACCAGCGGCAGCCGTATTTCCAAGCCGAGGCGAGGTGAAGATACAGAAATTTCAGCCCCTCAACCCTAAACCCTAAACCCTAAACCCTAAACCCTAACCCTAAACCAAGTACTCGAATGAACAAGTTTGGCGGGCCGGGGTTTCGGATTTCGGAGCTAGCTGCAGCCGAGAGACGGGCTTGAAGGTCGTGCTGGTAGGGCTGCACGACCCTGAGGCGAAGTACCTAAGAGAGGCAAAGCAGAGCTAAACGCAGGTACCGCACACCCCATGCTTAGCACATGCTTAGCACATCACTCCTGACTCCATTTCTGATGCGTCGCGCAGTCCAACCTGCTCCAACCTCGGTGGATGTACGCTGTCCCGCGAGTCCAATGCCGATAGCGGCGTCCGCATCGTCGCTATCTTCGTTCTGGCAGGGTTGGCTTTGGCAGTTGTTGCAGAAGCCCCAACGAGCTTTGTTGCCATCCTTGCACTCGATGTTGAATCCAGGCCTCACGGAAGCGTCTACAACAACAGCACAGGAGGAACGTGCCACAACACACCGACTGCTGTTACACATGCTGTTTCCTGGCCTCTGCATGGGGCAGTCCTTGTACTTGCCTTCGGCAGGGCCGAAGGCGCTGAGAATGCCTCCCTTGTCCAGGTATTCGTCTCGAATGTACCCGGCACTGAAAAGGGCCTTGGCGCTGTCGTACTTCTTCATGAAGTGGTGCACCACGCAGTTTGTCTCCGGGCTGCCGACGCACATGCGAATCCGCTCAAAGGGCTCTGTGTTAAATGCGCTGTACTTGGCATCCTCTTCGGTGTCCGTGGCCGATGCTTCGTTGAGGAGCTCCATGTTGGTCCAGAGTGGGCTGGAAAATCCAAGCTTCGCTGTCTTGCCAACCTTCAGCACAAGCTTCCAGTCTTCCTGACAATCTACGGTTTCTCTAGAGAGCTTAGTATAGCTTAGTGACGCAGGGGCGTTATTGGGTTGAGACTTCAGGCTTCGCAGGTTAGGGATCACGCTCCAGCCCTGAACCCTAAACCCCAAGCCGTCCTGGCCGGAGGAAGGGCTCTGCGAAGCCGTGGACTTGTCCTGTGGACGTCTTGGGTCCAGACTTTCGGAGAGAGGGTCATCCGCAAGTACCTACGGAAGGTGAAAGCTTTTATCAAGGAATACTCCCCTGTGTGGGGCTACCACCCTACTCATCCTAGGTCTAAAGCTTAGGAGGCCCAAGATGCAAAGTTTGTGGGCACAGGGAGCAGTTTTGGCAGCTTTGACTGTAGCATGCATATTGCCGTTGTCGATGTCGGAATTACCGCGAAGAGGCTTACCGACAACATCATTGAACCATCGTAAGAAAACCGCTATCATCATCCTCCTCATCCTCATCATCATCGTCATCATCAGCGTCACCCATATGACCCGGATCGGGATCATCCTTGTCAGCACAAATGGTGCCATCACTGTTACTGCTTTCACGTCATACCATTTGATTCCCTTAAGGCTTGCACGCTGCGTGTCCGACAGGAGTCACCGGGTGTGGGAATCTGCCGACGTCGCGCGAAAAAGTGCATCTGAGCGTGCGGGACAGGCACGGATCTACGTAACAATGCAAGCCGCAAGCATCTACTGCCCCAAAACCAAGCCTCAGCCCACTCCCTAAACACATAAACGTGCTGAACCTGCACGCCCCCCCCTTTTCCTAACCTCCAATTTCTCGGAGTATGCCCGGCAGACAAAATCAAAATGCACATAACATATACGGGCCTGAATAAGTGTTATTACTTAGAATAGGGTTGTATTGTAGTACATTTATATTTAGAACCCTTGGGAATCATATCACTGAGTATTTCGGCACGTATATTACATCCGCTGTCCTCTTTGTCCTCGCCTTCGTGTCGGACGGATTCTGTACCTGTAGAAGTAGGGTTTAGGGTTTAGGCTTTAGGCTTTAGGGTTTAAGGTTTAGGGTTTAGGGTTTAGGGTTAGGGTTTAGGATTTAGGGTTTAGGATTGAGAGTCCCTCGCAACCTGAGGGTATCCCGAACCCTATCCTAAACCATCCTAAACCCTTTAGCCGAACCCTAGACTCAAAAACGCCCGATTTGAACCCCTGCGCCCTAGGTCCTAAACCCGCAAAGCCTTCTAGCTGAACCCTGCGTTGGACCCTCAACCCCCGAACCTTCGGTTTAGGGTTTAGGGTTAGGGTTTAGGGTTTAGGGTTTAAGGTTTAGGGTTTAGGGTTTAGGGTTTAGGGTTTAGGGTTTAGGGTTTAGGGTTTAGGGTTGAAACATTGCTCCCCCCCTTAGGCGTAGGGGTCTGTGTCTTCTGCTGGGATTAGGGTTAGGGCTTAGGCCTTTAGGTGTTTGAGCTAGGGTCTGGGGCCAGGGTGTAGGGTTCAGGTAGGGCTTTTGAAGCGTGGGGGTTTACACCGCTTAGGGCTTCAGTTTCTTTTTTTGGAAGGGCTTCACTAAGCCTGGGGGTTCAGGACATGCTGTAGGGCTGTTGGGCTGAAGACGCTTGAGCTTGGCAGTGGTCAAACTTCGAGCTTAGACTAACATGCAGAGTTTAGGGTTTAGGGTCTTGGGCTTAGGGTTTAGGGTTGAGGGTTTGGGGCTTAGAGCTTAGGGTTTTAGTAGCCGCTGGCACCCTCCATGAAGTCGAAAGACATTCTGCGAACCCTCAATCCCCAAAACCCTGAAGCTTGAGATCCGGGCGTATCAGGCTCCCTGCCCTTGCTGCAGAAGAGTGGTGTAAGGCAGCACCATCCTTGTGTCAGCTGAGGGTTGAGGGTGGAATTTGAACTTTCAGGCTTCTTACAATTTGAAGTACTTAAATATTTGGGTATGCTTGCATTGAGGACCTAACTGCTTGAGGTTCTAAATGATCGAAATGTCGATGTTGCAATGTCTGAAACTCCCATTTCTTGTTGCTAAGATTCTCATCTGTTTAGGCGGAGGGCTTTGCAGGTGGGGTTCAGGGTTAGGGTTTAGGGGTTAGGGTTTCAGTGTTTCGCGCTCTGTTAGGAATGGATGAAATATAACCCTATGCTTTACGTTCAGGTCCTTCGCAAATCCCCTTCTAGCACGGCTCGTAAGAAAATGCCTGAACCCTGTAAGCACACTAATCCCTGAACCCCAAAACTACAAGCCCTAAACCCCAAAATTTCCTAACCTCCAACGCCTAATCTAGAGGCCCTAATGTATTTCAATAGGGTTTGGGGGGGGCTCTTATACTATAAATAGAATTTGGACCCCTGCAAGAAGAATATGGGTAATCATTTAGGCTCCCAAATTGTAAACCCTCTACCCTAAAACCCTCACGCCCTAAACCCGAAGGAATAATATTGGTAGTTACATAGGCTCCTATATTTGAACCTTGAAAATTCGGGCTCCAGGGATCTTCGGGGCTCGGGCTTTTGAGGCTCAAGCTTTCGTGTGCTTCATTGCAGTCTCTTCGCTGCTTGGCTTCCGATCATATAATATATATATATATATAATATATAATATAATATAATATAATATAATATAATATAATATAATATAATATAATATAATATAATATCATATCATATCATATCATATAATATAATATAATATAATATAATATAATATAATATAATAGTATATAATATAATATAATGTAAGGTAAAAAATATAATATCATATCATAGAATATAATATCATGTAATGTACTATCATAAAATATTATATGATATATAATATCATATATTATACTCTGTTACATTACATTACATTACATTACATTATATTATACTATATTATATTATATTATATTAAAAGTATTTATATATTTCTCTATTCAGATCTTTCTATCATTCTATCTTTCTATCTATCTATCTATCTATCTGTATTTAGCTATTCGATTTTTGTATTTGTGCTTATTATGATTTTATTGCTATTCTTATTCTCAAAATTATTCCTATTATCATTCTTCTTCATGTTTGCATTTTAAGTATTCTTATGAATATTATTCAGTTTTACTATTACCTTTATATATATATACATATGTACCTACATACTATCTCTATACATATCTGCATGATACCGGAATATCGGACAAAGTACCGGAGAAATGGCGAAGCTGGCTTTGCTGACATCGGCTCCGGATACCTCCCCAGACTTCAGGGTTCAAGGGTTTAGGGCGTAGGGTCTCGGATGCACGCGGAAGGCTTCTGGTTTGGGGCTAACGGCATGGTACAGGGTTTTGGCTTAGGGTTCAGGACTTGGCATGTAAGGCTTAAGATCAAACTGAACTCGGAATGGCAAGCTGATATCGGAGTATTGATGCAGTGAAGAGCTGGGTTTAGGGTGTAGCGTGTAGGGTGTAGGGTTTAGGGTTTAGGGATTAGGGTTTAGGGTTTAGGGTTTAGGGTTTAGGGTTTAGGGTTTAGGGTTTAGGGTTTAGGGTTTAGGGTTAGGGTTTAGGGTTTAATTGCATTTCGCGGGCCTGCTGGGTGATGGCCAGCGACAACAGACACCAGCCGTGCATCATGAACCTCGCTGCAGGCTTAGGGTTTGGGGTTTAGGGTTTAGGGTTTGGGGTTTAGGGTTGAGGGTTGAGGGTTTAGGGTTTAGAGTTTAGTTCAACATCGGCAGCTTCCACAAGCGTTTAGTCTGCCCAAGGAGCCACATATGAAAGTTTTTTGGCAGAAGGATACTACGTGCATCAAGGAATGCTGTAAGCCAACAGGGCAGCGGCATTGAACAGCAGCTGTTTGCTTGAGCCGAGCATTCCGTGATCTCTTTGGGCAGCCTTGACCGGAGTTTTCTTGAAAACTGCAGCCTACGCTGTGTCGAAGGCTTTCGGAAGACTCAATGATTCTGCCTAAACCCTAAACCCTAAACCCTAAACGTGCGGAACGAATGGTCGGAGCTGTCGCAGGCTGGAACCTGTGGGTGCACACCGATAACTGACCAGCTAGGTTCGCACGCTTTAGGGTTTAGGGTTTAGGGTTTAGGGTTTAGGGTTTAGGGTAGTCCCATGATCAGCAAATCCGTTGAAGCATTGGCCACCGCTTGTGGGACTGCTTGCACCATTGCATGCCGCGGCCACAGTTCGGGAAAGCATTTGGAGTTCAATGAATGATGAGACACGGAGGCGATGTGTCAACCCATCTATTACCTTCATCATCAGATGTTTTGCCCCGCTTCCAAGTTTTGCTGCGCGATGGCTGGCGGGTCGCATGCCGACAGTGCAATGCGAATCCTGGCGGTCTCAAAAAGCCGATCTGCACATGTCACTGGTTTCATGAGTTGCCGGCACTGCCATCTCAACGGATGAACAATAAGAGAACTGCCTCGATCAGTTGTCAGGTTTGATGCCTTCAGAGTTTTGGCCCTAAAGTGTCGCAGCTGCCAAAGTTCAACATAGTCAGAACTAGCGAAAGCGGAAGCAACAGCACAACAAAGCAACTTTGAAACAAAAGTTGAAACCCCACGCTCCACGTCACATTAGGATCTGATTGGGCCGTGATCTGCTTGTCGAGAGAGTTTGGCACACGATGGCGGTGCTTGAGTAAAAGGGCCGACGCTTTCGCGTTCTGGTCTTCTCCCGGACTTCATTCTTCAGTTGTCCCTAAACCCTAAACCCTAAACCCTAAACCCGTTCATGGACTGGCAAACGGCAACTTTGCCGTGCAGCTTCCGAGTTGATTATGATGGCTTGAGATGGTGGTACGGTGTATAGACGGATCTGCAATGCAAAAGACTGAAAACCCTCTGCTGCTTCTTCGATGTGTGTGAACCCGTATATTTACTGTACCCTGTTGTAGAAGCCATTGGCCCTATACTTGCACAAGTCATCCAAATGTTCCCAATGTGGTTGTATGCT